GAATTTCGCTTTTTCCTTTGTGTGTGTTGAGACCTTCTTCTGCTATACTGATCCTCTTCTCTTGCATTTGTTGTTGCGTGTGCGATAGAAGAGCCAGATCATCTACGAAGTCCATATCGTCCAGCTGCGTCCTAACTGTCCAGTTGATACCGTGCTTCCCTCCAGATGTCGACGTCTTCATAATCCAGTTGATCACCAGGAGAAAGAGAAAGGGTGAGAGTAAGCAAACTTGCCTCACACCGGTCTTCACATCGAAAGAGTCTGTCAACTGTCCTTCGTGTACGATTTTGCAGTTGAATCCATCATAAGAATTCCGTATGATGTTAACTGTTTTCTCAGGCTTGCCGTACTGTTGAAGAAGCCTCCACAGTGTTTTCCTGTCCACGCTATCGAATGCTTTCTCGTAGTCGATGAAGTTGATGTAGAGTGGTGAGTTCCATTCAATTGATTGTTCCACAATGATCCGTAATGTAGCAATTTGGTCAGTACACGATCGATCATTACGAAATCCAGGCTGTCGATCTCACACTTGCTGAGATCGCCTTTCTTTGGTATTTTGATCACGTATCCTTCTTTCAAATCTGATGGTACTCGTTCCTCATCCCAAATCTTGTTGAAGAGGTTGTGAAATATTTTCGCAGTTGCTTCTACATCTGCTTTCATTGCCTCTGCTGGAATGTTGTCTCGTCCTGAGATTTATCACTCTTGATTTGTCTGATGGCCATACTGATCTCCTCAATCGTAGGTGCGCCAATATTAATTGGGAGGTCCGTGGATTCTGCTTCGATGTTGGGTGGGTTCAGTGGAGCCGGTCGATTCAAGAGTTCCTGAAAGTGCTCTACCCACCTATTTCTCTGTTCTTCAGTGTTGCTGATTACTTTGCCTTTCTTGGTTTTCTTTGGACGTTCTGGTTTACGATAGTTTCCGGCCAGCTTCTTTGTTGTTTCGTACAATTGTCTCAAATTTCCGTCTCTTGCAGCCTTTTCCGCCGTCATTGCTAGATCTTCCACATATGTTCGTTTGTCAGCTCTGATGCTCTTCTTCACTTCCCTGTTTGTTTCTGTGTATGCAGCTTGTGCGGTAACTTTCTCTGCTCTTGTTCAGCTGACATTGATTGCTGCCTTCTTATTCCTCCTTTCTTCAATTTTCGCAAGTGTATCAATAGAGATCCATTCATTGTGAAGGTACTTTTTGTGACCCAGAAATTCGTGACATGCTGAAGTGATTGCCTCTTTGATCCCTTTCCATTTGTTCGCCGATATTGCTTCCTTTCCATTGAGTAGATCCTGAAAGGCCTGGAACTTGTTGGTAACGGCTATCTTGAATTCGTTGAGCTTTACAGTATCCTGAAGAAAGGCCGTATTAAACTTGTGTGATGTTGTCTGCCCCGTTATCCAGTGCTTCTTTAGTTTCAGTTTCATTTTGGCGATCAGCAAGTGGTGATCTGAAGCTCTATCAGCTCCTGTCTTGGTTCTCACATCCTCTATAGTCCTTCTGAACTTTTTGTTGATACAGATATGGTCAATTTGGTTTTGAGTAGTGTGGTCCGGTGAAATCTATGTGGCTTTGTGAATGCGTTTGTGCGGGAATATTGTGCCACCGATGACCAGTTTGTTGAAGGCACATAGGTTTGCAAATCTCTCACCGTTTTCGTTCCTTTCTCCCAGTTCATGTCGTCCCATGATGTCTTCATATCCAGTGTTGTCCATTCCAATAAATATAATATAACTATTATTGCTAGCCTTGTTAGCTTTATTCCATTTTGTCTCACCACCACGTAGGATCATTTTTTTGTTTCATTCGTGTTACTTCCTTGTGTCATTAACAGTTTTATTCATAGTTCTGTTAAAGGACTTAGGCTGTCACTTTTTATGTCTTGGACAATTATATCGTTGGTCCCATACATCTGTAATGACTCCACGCTTATGAAGAGAACGCGACTGGTTTAATAGAAACATTTATTATTATAACCAATTGGACCAGTGATTGTTTTACTGTACTCTTTGTTTATTAGCACTCTACACACTCACTTTCCGTTCGTGTCTCTTTCATTTTGGTTACCCTACTCGCGGTAGTTTCGCCTATATCCCTGGGCACGATGTCACTATTATTTCGATACCACGAGATCACCAACAAATATACATTTACTTCTGGATCCGATCTTCTTCCTTTTCTTTGTTTGACGGGGCGATTTAACCTTGTAACTGTAGTGTAATTTGTCTGTAGTGGTTATTACAGTCAACCTCAACCCGCAACCACTATACACCCATGTGCAGTCTGTTGCATTCATTTACTCGAATATCTATACTAGCTTTGCGAAACCAGCTATAACATTCGTCATATTCCATCTCAGAAACGACAACAAACCGGTATCCATGTTCCTGACAGGTACTTTTAGTGACTATGATGAAAAATTTGTTGCCAGTAGCAATATGAGCTTAATTAAGTTCACATTACTCAAATATTTTTACATTACTGACCTAATGTTTGTTAGAAACTAGTGACTAGGAAATTCTAATTAACGATCCAAACAAATTTGAGGATAAAAACCAGGAGACACATAAACAATCTTGATTCATGCAAACAAAAGAAAGCTTACATTTATCAAGGATTTTGCTGAGTATTCATAAGATTACCGTAAGGATAATTAGTGATGGAAAGTTAATAGTAAATAGTGCGTTTAGGAAATCAGATCTGTATCCACCGAAGAAACTGGAAAACTGTAGAATGGATTTATAAGAATACAATCAATCTAGGCTCACTATTGTGATGAAACTAACAGCCAACACCTTTTGCTATGGTGAATAAAAGTTGTAACCTTTTACTGAAATTATATTTTTACTATTATTAGCAGATTGATAGTAGGAGCATTTTGCTCAATGATACTTGAACAATTTGATACAGACATTCGGTTCTAACTGTTTTGATTAATCTTTGTTGACAGTCTTATTTATTGGTGACTTTGGGAATGCTTTTACATATGTATCTCCAACATAAAGTTGTGGAAACGATAATTTTGAGGGGAATACATGATAACAACAATTTGTTTATGATAAGTCCGCTGAATGAACTCTAGAGCTGGTTTCCTAGCCGCTCATAATGACCGCCAGCTAGTTCTACACGGTAATTTGAACACAGAAAGTGATTGTGAAATCCAAAAACGAAGACTGGTGAAAAAATTTATTTTAATTGCAAAATAAATCGAGAATAGGTTAGAGATACACCACTTTTTACATGATTGATTTACAGTTAAACAGTCGGATTTGTAGAGATGGGACTGATTTGTTTTTAGCAATAATAATTCATTGACTTATTATATAACCACGCACATACAATATTATAAAACTGGATTTACTATCCTTTCTAAGATGTAAACATATGTCATACAATCAACTTCACATACCATTCGGATTCCAATCCGTTCAGCTGTTACTGAGCCCACCAGTTTAACAATGTGCTAATTACATCTTAAACTCAGTTTTTTTCAAAGGTCGAAAGTAGTATTTAAGTTCGTTTCCGTAGCATTCGGAAATAATGATCGAGATATTTCGCTTATAAATATAGAATTCTAGCTCACTGAGACGTGACTGATATTCAGTGAATCTCAGCTATGAAAGTATTCTAACATTATTTTTTGATTTCTTTGTCACCGAATTATACTCAAGATTTTTCACTGGCATGACAAGTGAGCAAGACTTTCTGATAATTGGTTATCTAGATCTATGATTTCCTGAGTGTCTAGTTTTTTGTATGTACTCAATAAATTGAAAGTAACTAAGACTTAGTTTAGATAAGACAAGTTTCTCTTCATGTTTAGACTAGACATTCACATTAAAAACCGAACGAGTTTTGATGTGGCCACTGGTATTCGGATACAGATGATCAATGGTGTCGTAATGGTTGTAAATACGAACGATAGAATTATATTTTAAGGACTAATAAAGCGTATTTTAGGTGGTACCGTTTGCATTTTTCAGGGAGATATAAAGTTCTATAACTGATGACTTGGAGATAGGATATATGTACATGGAATTAGAGTGTATACGTTCTTCAGTGTTTAATGCATATATGGTATCAACTACTTTTGAGCATTTTTCCATTCATTCGGTAGGTGTGTGCTGCATATAAAATTATAACTTCGCTAGGGTATTTCATTTGAGGCTGTTGTGTTGACGAAATTACTATGAACTTCAGTCAGGGTATCAATCATGTAGAAAGTATAAATATATTTCTGTCTTGGGTTTTCTGAAGTAAATTATTTGCTTGAATCAACTGCACTCTGATTTGCTCAGAAATCACTCACATTCACTACATACCATGATGATATTCGGATTCATTAAAAGATCAGTTATGGGTGAATAGTTGTAAGGAGTCATCCAAACAGGACGAAAACTATGGAACATTTCCTAAAGATTATATTATTATTTTTATGATATTTTGGATACCTATGACTTATTTCCTAGGGCCTTAGAAGCTACTACAGTAATTAGTATTCATAAAGGTATATTAAAGATGGTAATGCAGCATCTAATCTTTGACTAAAATATCTACTGATAGTCAAACAAACCCAAGCTTAAAGAATTTTCAACTATGAAATTACCGAAATTCCAAACTATATAATCTTTCATTACAAAATCAATAATCTGATTACCTAATCTATCTATAATATCAAAATTAAGTATTAATAACATGAAACTATTTTCGACATACATATAACCAATATTTACAATCTTAGAATAAAATATTTGTAATCTATAAAGTTGAATTTAGAAAAGTTTGAGAGGTGTGTAGCAGAAATAATGATTATTAAAAAAAATGACTACACAATTGTACTCTCTAATATTAAAAATCATTTTATTTTGAAAGTATTCCATAGAATATGTATGTATCTCCTTCTAAAGATAAATTATTTACTTGCCTAGTCTTTTCCCACTACCATGTTAATAGTTACTTATTGAAAAGAAAGATAAGCCAAATTACAGAATACAGAAAGTTTTAAATTACTCATCTGTTCTATTTTGTGACATTAAATCCATAAATTTACCTAAAGCACCATTATTATTCTGATCATTGAAATCGGGATTATTATTTGCAGGATACATATTAGGTAGGACATTAGAATTTTCAGCCACTGTGTAACTATGCTTAGACAAATCAGTATTAGTGAATTCAGCATTATTAGAATATTGATTAAAGTTGTTGGAATTATTATCAGTGTGGTTATATGGACTGTTTAAATTATTATGATTATTCGGATTTTTGTTTGCACTGATGAAAAATTCAGGCCATTTATAATCACATGAATAAGTTGTTTCATTTGACATTTTAACTTTCGGTGGAACATAGTAGTCCTGTGGTCGGAACTGATTTGTTTGTTGAAGAGGTGGTAGTTTTGTATGTTCCTGATGGTATGTTGTATTGGAATAATTGTTATTTACTTTTTGTTTATCAGAAGTTTGCGGAGAATTTTTTGTTGTCTTAGGATGTGTGTTATGAACGTTAATTTTTGGTAAGAGATTATTTGAATTCGTTGTTTCAATGTGAATATTTTCACTGGGTTGATTAAATTCACTGTCCTTTTTGTATGAGTTTACATATGGTTCATAATAATTCACATAGTCGATTGAATAACTTGTTTTTAGGTCATCGTTAATCAAATAGTTTATTTTTAGATTATCTTCTTTCACTATTGGTTGAAGCTTTGATGGTGTTTTCCTAGGTCTAAAGTCATTAGCATAAGTTGTCATGTTGACTTTGGTAGTAGGATGGAGATATGAATAACGTGTGGTTGGAGGGCAGCTTTGGTTATTTTTGTACTCTCTGTAGGGTGGACGAAATTCAGTCCGATAACTTGTCTTTCCAGAAAATGGTACAGTTGGATGCTTATAACGGTCTACAGGTTTTAAATTTTCCGTTTTCTTCGCCTTGCGGTATTGAAATTCCTCTGAATATGAAGAGGTCTTATCCATTGGCATTTTTGAAACTTTGAGATTGGTTTTAGGCAAAACCGGATCTTGTTTCTTAGAATACCTCGGGATGAATTCTTCTGCGTAGGATGACTGTGAAACTACTGGTACACTTGGTGATCTATAAAATTCCTTAGGTTTATATGACATAGATGGTTTCGGAGTAACTGGTCTAAAGTCAGTTAGATATGTGGTTTGACTGGATAAGGCTTCATCGCTCAGCCATCTGGTTTCTTTTTGTTTTATAGGATTTAATTTATGTGCATACCTAGGCGGAAACTCATCCATATAACTCGTAACCATTTCATTATTAGCATGAAGTAAACGAAGATTATCTTTGGGATAAAATGGGTCATCTCTTTTAATCTGCCATGGTCTGTAGTCTGAACTATAAGCAGTAGTGTCTTCCATTTTTGTTCTGGGTTTTCGATACTCGTAAACGGGTGTAAAACTTTTGGGTTTTGAAACTAGATGAGGTTGAAATTCTTCGGAATAACTTGTGTTTTTATGAAATGGTATTTTAGGTTGTTGATAGACGTACATAGGGGAGTACGATTTCGGTTTCGAGTATGGTTGGAATGTATAGTCCGTTTGATAATTTGTTTGGCCAGACATAGGCTCTGTAGGCATTCTATACTCTCTATATGGTTTGAAACAGTGCACAGGTTGGGCCTCTTTTGGTGGATAGTCTGTAAAATAACTCGTTTCACTTTGAAACCTGCCCTTTGGAAAAGTTTCGTTATCTTTCATTCTGAAAGGCATTTCTCTAGGTGACCAAGGAGGGTCTTTATATTCTGACTGATAAGTTGTCATATTTGAAATCGGTATCGTAGGAGGTACGTAGACTTCGTGTGGTTTATAGCTTTTTTCCATCCGAGAGTAACGGGGTGGATAATCTATACTGTAGGTAGTGTTTGTGTCCATTGGTTCTTGTGGAGGTAGGTAAAACTCTTTAGGTTTATAATTACTTACTTTATCCAACTGGTAGGGCTGATAATTGTCTTGGTAAGTATTCTCCAATAAATCTGCATCACTAGGCGATTCCCACAGTGAATGAGGCATAATCGGATCTTCATTATGAAACATATCAGAAGGTTTATAGTCATCATTGTAGCTTGTCAAAAAAGGATCAGCTAATACAGAATTCATATTATCATAATTTTCAGCATTTCTGTCCATAAGGTCGTCATTATGTCTTGTAGGATAGTTTTCCGTGTTGTTATAGGGATTAGCCATAGTTTCTGTGTCTGTGATTATATTATGATCATTTTCTATAGTGTTATCATACTTTTGATCATTTGAATAATATTCTTCAAGTAAATCAGAATGATAAGGTGGATCTAAATCCCATGACTTTATTGATTTAACAGGATTTGTATTAGGACTCCTGTAAGAGTAATGATCGCTTATTTTTTGAAAATGTTTATACGCATATCCATTCTCACTAAGTGTTTCATTCGTTGCAATGTCACCAGACATTAGAAAATGTTTTGATCAAGGCAGGATGACTGATTATGCCGTTTCTAAATCAGAAAAAAAATTTAAAAAATTACTGTTCATAAATATTCAAACTATTAAGTTTTTAGAGGACTTGGAAAACATATCCGGACGAACAGGAAAAAGATAATGGTACGTTTAAAAAACAACTTTAAAATTCTAGAGAATACAGTTATTTTCAGTTGTAAATATTACTAGCTATTTGAAGCATCTGCTCCGATTCATACCTACATTCTGGCGAAGTACAAATTGGATGTTACTTTACTAAATAGATGATATAAACGTCATAATTATCAGACAAGGAAAAGATTTAACCGTTATGAAAAACTTTTTCAACTTATATACTAAGGACAAAATGTTTTAGATTATTTTTAACTAAGAATTCGACAAATATGAAATGAGGCCCTTTCCTTAATCTAGTTGTTAAGTGCTTTGTTTAAATTATTAGTTAGATAATAATCAGTTTAATTATTCTTATCTTCAGCAATGAATAAAGCCTACGTTTGTGACCACACTGCTGGATAAGAACACCTTCAAAGGTATTTAATTTTACAGGTGATCAAACATTCTTTCAGATATTGATAGCAGCATTTTGGTAGTTATTAGTGTACTTGGAAATAGGTTTTAAATTGGGAAACAGGTTGATCAATGGAAAACGTTTCCACAATATGAAGGTGAATCATGTGTATTTTGTATGGTTCATAATCATCCTAACCTAAATTAAATCATATGCTGCTTATCTGTTGTTTAATTGGATGAGAGTTTCATTAGTTGAGACTATATGAAATGCTGTTAAACCATTCGAAAATAGTTGAGTTAATGAGTTTGAAAAGGGACATAGTACGAGCTAGGAATATAATGATTAACTGATACAGCAGCATTGCATCTATTCCTCAGTGATTTGAATTACAAGTTAATCCACTGAAATTTCGTGACAGGTGTCGTTCATTAATATATATTGAGAAAATCGACAATTTAATTTGATGACAGGTAATTTTACTGACTAAGAATTAATGAATATGTGAACAATGTACACTCAAAATGGCAATAATTTAGTACATTTACTCAACTATTAAGTTTTTAAAACAAAATTATCATTGTGTATATTACCTAATAATGAACCTCTAAAATGATATGTTTCAATGCAGATTTAGTGAGTGAGTAAGTAGCTCCTAAAGAGACAAAGAGATAATATGAACAATATTACCTAGACATACGATAAGGCACGTTAGGGGGTTATTCAGTGTTGCAGTAAAGCAGTTATATTACTCACCATTCACATGATAAGTAAAAACTTTTTGACTTATGCTGCATATTAGATAAACATCGCTCATGTAGATATACAATTTTTCGTTCAACTATCGTTAATTTGAGTAAAACGCAACTGTTACTACATTTCCTTTTAGAAAAGTCCAATGTAAAATCAAATGATGAAAACAAAAAGTTCCAAAGTTTTTGAACATAATCTATAATTCTTATTTAATTTACTAGTGACCTGTAAATTCAATGTTAGCATTATCATTAAACAAAAGAATTTACCACCTATTTATTTATTTAAATGTAAGAACTTAAAAAATATCTAACAGTAGCAGGTCATTTTTATTCATACATAGAATAGATAAGAAAGTTTTTGTACTAGTATTCATTAGTGAGTGAATATGCATAGATGGATGCAGTTATATCAAGATCAGCTATGGGCAGTGTGAAATTCAAATATGTCAGAACTTATTCAATCTTATGTTGAAGATTTAAATATGTATATTTTCTCTGGAGAGAACTAGATGTTACAGTTAATATGACTTAATGAGTAAGTGAAGCTACCAATATTTTTGGAATCGTTACTATTAGGGCCGAATTAATATATACCTTATTTTCATCATTGCAGCTTCACACTGAGAAACTTAGTTCGATAATGAATGATAGATAGATATGATTAGTGAGACATTTTTATATTTTTGGATGAGTGATAAGCAAATATTATATTAGACAAGATCAAATGAAACTGAAGACGCATTCATTCTTTAAACATATTAATTATCCTTATTTCGGAAAACTAAGTCAGCGGAATAGGTTTCACCACTATATATTTCATAGAAAAATAAAAATTTAATTCTTAGTCTGTATTTACTCCAGAGTGATCTCAGTTGGGGTTACAAGTGAAAACCAGAAAGCAGTAGACATTTGATTTTTCCTAGCATGGAACTAGTCAGTAGTGAGCAACTATATATATAAATATTGTTGTATTTAGTAATTGTTGGGGATATAATTTAGAGCCATAAGACATAATAAATTTACTCGTATGAAGTTGACTTACTTGATATATATTGATGCTGTTTTCCCTAATAACCAACTCCACTCACTAATAATAACGATTATGATCGGAGAGATTAAAGTGAGGAGCGCTGATAGTTTATAATTTCAAGGACATTAGAATAGGTGTGTACTTTCATTAGTGTGCATTGATACAACCAAAAACCAAATGTATAACAGACGTAAGAGCAAAATATCACGTGGAGACAACTATGAACCAATAAACAACTCACTATGTGGTAAGATCTTGAAAAAAAGTTTTTGTAAACATTATTTACGGTACAACTAACGTTTTTGTATTAGAAATTTGATTTTGAGATAAGTACACGAGATATTTTTAGTTGATTGGTTTAGTTTATTTTGAAGAAACTGACATCTGAAGAGCTATTGGAAAGCAAAAAGTACTATTAGACCATTTCCTCCTAGACCCGGATTCTTAAGCAGTCTACAATAACTACTACATATGAGAATTAAGTCATAACTTCCAAGTCCCGCGGAGAACGATTTACAGGAACACCAGCGATCGATATTCCTGACTTCAGTTGATAATCCCCGCAATAGTTTCAAGTCCCATCAATCATAAAGATGACTCTTGGTAAGAGTTTTATTTGTGATGGCTTATTTTCATAGATTTGATCCATCCTTCATTACTTTACATTTTTCTTGTCCTTTCATTTCCAGGATTAGGCATAGTTATTCATTATAAAGCAGGTGGATATCGATCTGAGCCATATCGGCGGCAATGAACTACTTGATGGAAGTTCATATGGAAATCATAACCAGTATTTGGTAACATTAGCTACCATAGTTTAAAGTCGATCACAAAGGCGCGGGTAAGTTCATTCTTTACCTTCATCTACACTTTGCGCTACAATATTATTCCATAATTTTCATTCTACGAATCATTGTACAACCTCGTTGAACATTACATAAAGAATACTTGCAATTATTTGTTTCTAGTCCAGTGTTACATTGTATTAGATCTTTAAAAATTAATTTAGTAATTGATAATTCTGTTACACTAAATTCTGAGATGCTGATGTATGTCATATGTCAAGTATACCAATATATGATTCTAGTAAAAAGGTGACTACTTCCCATGATATTTACGTAATACTACGTAACTCTGGAACTTTACAAACCTAGGAAGATTCGAAAAGTCTTAGAAAACAGAAAATTTAACTCGATTAGAAAGGGGACTACATTCAATATTGTTTCCATATAATATACGTATTGCTCTATATTCACCATAAAGTCGGTTGTTGTAAAGAAAGACGTTCAAATTTTACATAATCACATGCAAAATGGCTTAACAATTTTACAGTCGCAGTACAAATTAAAAAATTCCCTAATACGTTTTAGATATATCCATTTATTTTGATAGCATTAATAAACTATAAATTATTTTATTTATGATGTATTATATATATATATATATATATATATATATATATATATATATGATTGATTGTCAGAGAATTCCTATCCACACTACAAAAGTGATCAATAACCAGCAAATACAAAATTATGAGAGAATTAGTTTGAACAAATTCCGATCATCAAAGGTAAAATAGTTTATCACTTCTATTTGACATTAAAATCAGATGTAACAACATTTTAACGACAATTTTTGTCAGGAATTTACATCAGCTGTAGAATTGTAGAAAGTTAGGTCAGAATTTTCATTACTACCAATATCAGATTTCACAACAGTGAATATATCCACAATGTTACATTGAATCGAATCCTAATTATTCACTATTTAAAGAAACATATCTACTATTCTAACTCATATGCAATAAAAGTAGATAGTGAGTTTAAATGCATATATCGACCGACTGGTTTTTTATTTGATGACTAGAGATTAAACTAATAAACTTATCAAGGTAAGTGTTTTTCGTGAAATAATTCCAGCCGAATCAAAAAAGAAAACTACGAGGAATTGTAAGTTCAGATATCTTAGCATTTCGAAACTAACACTCTTCATAGAACCAAATTGTGGAAATCCAGTTGTATGATACGTTTTAGCCCTTTCAACTAACATCATTTAGTAGCGAAAATAACCTTCAAAATTAAAAAAAAAACAACTTATAGGGAAGTTTTCTTCAGTTGATGATAATAATCAGTCTCTCAGTAGTGAACAACTATAAAATGGATTTCCCGAAGTTCAAATTAAAAGCCATAACTTATTAGAAGTGAAGGAATAACCAACTGACAACATCGGATGAAGATCGTAGGTTTTCACAAATTGGTTGATTTTATGCATGTCACTGGATTTCAAATTCTTGACTCAGTAAAGCTGAGTTAGACGATACTATTAATTAATCCCGAATTAGGATAAATTAGCTCTTAAGCCTGTGTCAATTCTAAACTGTCCATGAATAAAATTTGCCTTCAAATTAAACAAAATCTCTTGGAATAACCAATTCATTCAATATTTATTTTGGATAAAATAATGATGATCTTATCTTTTTTTTCTTATCATCTCAATAATGTCTAATTTCTGTGTACTTTATGTATCTTAAGGTGAAGACTGTCATCTGATATTAATCAAGTGATAATGAGAATAATTGTAGTTGATCTGATATTCTATTAAAAAAATAAATAAATAAAAGTAATATTTTCAAAAAATCTTTTAACTTTTTCTTTAAATCATCGATGAACTCTTTTTA